GTACACCTGTGGCAAATTTACCCAAAACTAATTTTTTTACCACCAAAAATCCGAAACTGGTATATTTATGAAAAATTGACTCTCCGTTAAATTGAATTAATACAACAAAAAATCACAAATTGGCTGCACTTGTGACAAACGGAGGGTAAAACCAAACTATACACCCGTCAATTGTCACGTGCCATATAACTCAAAAATTTGACGGTAAAATTTAATGGAAACTAAATGGGGGTAAAATTATCATTGATGTACCAGTTTGTAGTAATTTGAGGTAAATTTATCACATGAGTATCATTTTGGGGTTTTTCATGGTATTAACCCTACTCATTTTTTTTTCCAATTTTTTTATTTCCATTTGACATTGAATTTGTGCTTTGGTGTTTCGAATTTTGCAAGATTTTCCTTCAAATTTAGTTTGAGATCTCGATATGAGAGAGAGACCGTGACGACATGGGCGGTGGTTGCAGGCTCTTGGTTGCGGTGGCAGAGTTGTTCACGGGTGTGTCCATGGGGACTGCACTTGCGAAGAAAGGAAGAACGAGAAGAGGGAAAAAAAGAAAGAAAAAGAAGATATTAAAAAAAGAGTTATTTAAAAAAAATAGAATTTCCTATCAAGCTGACTCCATATAGCGTTAGGTGCCTTCCTCCATCAACTATATAAAAGAGAAAATATTAAAAAATTATGGATTGTACTATTTGGAACTTTCACATATTAATTGTACTGTTTTAGTACTCTGCATTTATTGCAAATATAATGTACATTATACATAAATTAAAGTAAACCGATTTTCACTTTCAACTTAAACAAATCATATCAAAAAGCAAGAGCGTCAACCGCTCGGTTCTCCTCGGGTCTCCACCGACACTCGACCGGACCCAAACATGGATGCCGCCATGTTTCTTTCGACCCGGCCTTAGACACAATCCGCATAAAGCCCAACCCAAGTTGGGTCTGCACTTATTGCAAATATATATAAGGATTAATACCACGAAAAACCCAAAATCGATACATACAAAACACCCAAATCAGTACATCTGTGACAAATATACCTCAAACTAATTTTTTAACTACCAAAAGTCCAAAACTAGTACATTTATGATAAATTTACTCTCCGTTAGTTTACGTTAAATTGAATTAAGATCACGAAAACCAACAAATTAGTACACTTGTGACAAACGGAGGGTATAACCCCAAACTGGTATACCTGTCAACTATCACGTGTCATTTAACGTGTAATTAATTTATGATAAATAAATTAGTACACTTGCTTCTGCTTCTTCTACCTCAGCCAGTTGGCGGCCGTCGACCGGCGAGCTCGGCCTCGCCAGAGCCTCGCCGATGACCTCGAGCGAGGTTCGCCGACGTCCGGCGAGCTCGGGCCTCACCAGATCCGGCGACCTGGGCGAGGTCGGCGACCTTGGGCGAGGCGCGAGGTCGAGCTCGCCCAGGTCGTCGAATCTGGCGACCTCGGGCGAGCTCGACCTCGCCCGGGTCGCCGGATCGGGTGACCTCGGGCGAGGCCGATCTTGCGAGGCCTGAGCTCACCGGCCGGGCGAGCTGGGGCCTTGCCGGCTTGTGGCGAGGCTCGAGCTCGCCTCTGGCCGGTCGCCGGACGTCGGCCGTGGCAATGGCCGGCGACCTGCCGGAGAAGAAGAAGGAAAAAGAACACAGCCGGCGGCAATCGTTGCCGAACGCCGGAAAATATTTTCCGAAACTTTTTCATATTTCAGCCGAACACCGGAAAATTGTGTTCAGGAAAAACATTTTCTAGGAAAATGATTTCCGGGAAAACATTTTTCAAAAACACAATATTTTCCGCCAAACGAATGGAGGCTAATTGTACTGTTTTAGTACTCTGCATTTATTGCAACTATAATGTACATCATACACAAATTAAAGTAAACCGATTTTCACTTTCAACTTAAACAAATCATATCATAAAAGCACGGTTCTCCTCGGGTCTCCACCAATACTCGACCGGACCCAAACATGGAGGTTGCCATGTTTCTTTCGACCCGGCCTTAGACACAATCCGCATAGAGCCCGACCTAAGTTGGGTCTGCATTTATTGCAAATATATATAAGGGTTAATATAACGAAAAACCCAAAATCGGTACATACAAAACACCCAAACCAGTACATCTGTGACAAATATACCTCAAATTAATTTTTTAACTAACAAAAACCCTTAAATTGATACATTTATGACAAATTTACCCTCCGTTAATTTACGTTAAATTGAATTAAGACCGCGAAAACCAACAAATCAGTACACCTGTGACAAACGGAAGATATAACCCCAAACTGATACACCAGTCAACTACCACGTGTCATTTAACGTGTAATTAATTTATGATAAATTTATTATAAATAATTAATTTGAGATTTTTTTGTTGTATTAACCCTCTATATAAATGTACATGGTACGACAATTCAAGCAAAGCAGATTTTCACTTTCGACTTGGAAAATAAAAGTCAAGATCAAAGAGTGCCCCGTGTAGCCCCACTGCAAGCCCGAGCCGCGGCCCCCATTGACAAATTTTGATCACGCGGGCCCCCACCGTGGGGGCCCACTGTTACTCATGCAAATTGGAAATTTTAAAAAAAAGAAAAAAAAAAAGGAAAAAAGATAATGAAAAAAAAAAAAAAGAAAAGGCGAAATTATTCTTCATTTGACAGCTGATCTGACACCCATAAACAAATCGATACCCAAAAATTAAAATTAACAAACACTGAAAATGCCCCCCCCTAAGAAATTAACGTGTCGTGACGCCATTGGTCATGACCGGTGAGTTCGTGGCGTACGGGACAAAAACCCCCACCCCCCCCCCCGAAAACTTGCCCTTTAATGCCGGATAAGGCTTCTCGACGGGGACAAATTTGGAACGTGGGGCCCTCGGCCCCCCGGGAGAAAAGAAAAAACAGGGGAGAAAGCAGGAGAAATATTTGCACTCAAGGTCCCTATAGTCTTCAGGAGTTCGCATCTAGGTCCCTTTTCCCCTCACGGGAATTGTTTAAGTCTTCCCACCTAACTTCGATTTTTACCATACCCGACAATAATTGAGATTTATGTTCTAATACGCCGTCGGTGTAGAAGATTGCTTGTTTTTTTTTTTTCTTTCTACTTGCTCAAAGCGAAAATTGTATTCGTATCGTTCTCTAAAACTTGCTCGTGTGGCTATACTTTTCCGTTGTCAGTGTACGGAATAAAAGGCCCGATAATTATTGAGTCGGCACTGGCCAGTGGTATTGTGACGCTTACCTATATGTGTCACGCGTTGTAATTAAAATCACACGTTCGATATTCATATCTGTAGGTCCATTCAATGTTAGTCCTTATATGTGTGAAGTGTGGGTAGATATGTAAGGGTTTGTCATTACATTTGTATTCTGAACCCAACGACAAAGAGGGACCTCGGGCTATCATAAATGTGACATCTATGGGTATAAATTTCTGGAGTATACATTGGCTCACTTATTATCAACAGCTTGAGGAACTTTTTACTTCACACGACTTAATATAAAAGGAGTTGAGATTGGCACTCGACACCGATTGCCTCCTTTCTCTGTGACCGAATTCTCTCTAATTAATGTGATGTTGATTTATCGTGATCGTGAGATTGGAGAATTACTACAAGCTACTTGTCAAGTTAGAGTAGGATAATTTTCACTTTAGTTTATTTGTAACGGGTTAAAGTTGCTAGCAGAAAAATTGAAGGTCATGGAGGTGGCCTCAACCTTTTCTTCTATTGGTACTACCCATATGTGTTTATACAGATCCACATATCAATTATCCATGATAACTTGAAATACGACGCCATTGTTGCATGCATCCAAATTGATCTCGACGAGACTTTTAATCTGATTGTATCGACTCGTAAACTTTTCACCTTTTAATAGTCAATATCCACTAGATTTGGTATGGAAATTACTCAACTTGACGAGTGATAATAGACGGGCTAATTTTTGTCATCGGGGTGAAGTATAGAGATGACAAGAAAGGACTCAACTGGCGCTCGAAGGAATTAGAACGGGTACCGAATCGTGATTATCCAAAAGTACAAGGATTGAAATTTAGAACTCCACATTTGATCATGAGAAAAAACCGAAAAGCGTAATTTCCACAAAGAAAAAAGAACTAGAAAAGATTAAAAAATTGGCGAAAAGCCAAAGGCATCGGCCACGTCAGATCGGGATAGCGACGGGTGGGTCCCACCCTACACCATTTTTTCAATTTAAATGGATGAATTCCCTACAAAACCCTAAACTCTAGGTCAAGTCCCAAATCTGCCTCAAACTTTTTTTTTATCTAAAAAAAACCCTAAACTTTACGTTCAGTCCCAAATCTGCCCCGAACTTTGTTTTATGTAAAAAAAACAGCAAATTTCAATTTATTTTAAAAAATATATCCCCATGATCTAGTCCCAACTTGACGTGTCACTTCCACGTCATAACAAATCCAGATTAGCAAAGTAACGGGGCGATATATACAGACTGACGTCGCATTTCCACTTCGATAACAAATCAAACCAAATAAAAATTAAATAATTCTAGGATATGAAAGTTAGGGACGATAACTAACAAATTCACCCCAAAAAAATTTTTAATTTAAAAAAAAAACCTAATTTTTAGGTTCAATCCAAATTTCCTCCGAACTTTTCTTTGTCCGAAAAAAAGTCCCATTACTTTGTTGATATGGATTTATTAACGACGTGGAAGTGCCACGTCAAGTTGGAACTAGATCACCGAGGTATATTTTTGAAAATAAATTGAATTTTGGTATTTTTTTTACACAATTGGGGTTTTTTCTGAAATAAAAAAAATTTTGCGGTAGATTTGGAACTATATTTAAAATTTGAAATTTTTTCTGAGATAAAAAAATTTCGAGACAGATTTTAAATTTGATCCAAAATTAAAGGTTTTTTAAGGGAATTACGCCCGATTTCAATCATCCCTCTCCCCTCTCTCTCCTCTTCTCTGCTATACAATCTGCGACTCGTCGCCACATTAGCCCACCCACTGCGAATCTCTCCACTACTCCCAGCCCACGCGCCCCCGCGCCCCACGCGCCCCCACGCGCAGCCCACCCCCCCTCCCTTCCCCTTCGTCTTCCATCTCCCTCCCTCGCCCCCGCGATATAACCACACCGCAGCAACCGCCCTCTGGCCTGGCCTCGAATGCCGCCGATCCCGTGACGGCGAGATGGAACCCACCGGCTTCCGCCACCGCCGATCTCCCTCCGGCGACCGCTTCCTCGGCGCTTTCTCGTTCTCGCCCACTCCCGGCTCCGCCTTCCCCCCCGGCGGGGTAGGCGGAGGAGGAGGCGGAGGCGGCGGCGACGAGCTCAACGAGGCCGAGGTCTGCTTCTCCGGCGACTTCCCCGAGCCCAGGGCCCGCCACCGATCCGCGCTCTCCTCCTCCTCCTCCTCCGACGCGGCCCTCTGGGCCCCCCGCGGGGGGCGGCGCCACCTGCTGACCGGGCAGCTCCAGGGCAACGGCATCCTCGCCGCGCTGCACGGAGGGGGGGCGGCGCCGGCGTCCAACGTCGTGATCCCCTCCATGTCGTCGTCGTCGTCGTCGTCCCCGTCGAAGCCGGTCCCGCCGACGGCGCCGCGGCGGCACCCGGGGGCCCAGGAGAGGGAGTACTCGCAGTCGGTGCCGTGCGGGAAGTTCCAGCAGTCGTCGGCGCCGATGAACGTCCCGGCCCCGCTGGCGGCGATGCCGAAGCAGGGGAGGAACAGGTTCTTCGAGGTGGACAACGATTTCGAGGACGACGAGATGCTCCCGCCCCACGAGATCGTCGCAAGGGGATCCGGCATGTCGCCGAGGACGACCTTCTCCGTGCTTGAAGGTGCCGGGAGGACCTTGAAGGGGAGGGATCTGCGGCAGGTGAGGAACGCCATTTGGCGCCAAACTGGGTTCCTGGATTGAACGCCATTGGAATTGAAATTGAACTCGAACTCGAACTCGAACTCCAATCGTATGTGGAGATAATGCTTTTTGTTTGCCGTAATCTTATAGGACTTGGTTCATGAGGAGTATGATTTTGTTGATAAAAAAACAGTCTTGTAAAGGGTTAGTGAAAAGGGTAAAGTAAATGGCGTATGGCCGATATCTATGTTCGACTTTGTAACTTTCGGGCAGGCGAAAAAGCTTGATTTTAGCCGGTTCAGCGCGGTTTTTTCCTGATGATGGCATTTAGCATCATTCGGTATAGGTTACCAGATGTTGGCGGTATGATTTGGTAGATCTCTGTTAATGTTTGAGACCCAAAGTACAATGTTTCTTCAGACAATTGGATAGAATACTGCATGCTGAGGAATGTAAGCAAGGTTCTTCAAGTTTAGAGTCTGTATGGTGCTTGCTTTCTGATTATGTTGCGTTTGTGATGTCGATGCCGATATGCTAAAATGGGCGGATAATTCATTGGTGCAAGTCAATCTTCTGAAGATCATTTTTTTTGTGTTCCTTTAATTTCATCCTTTTAGATGATCATGGAGATTGTTGTTAAGCTTCAGACAAGCAGATGACTGATTCCGTTTGGAAGTTAGATTTGTTTCTGCGCATACTTGAACATTCTTTATGGCAACTTGTCTGAACCGACTGAATCTTCAGTTGCCAAATTATGCCAAAGAAATGCAGGGAAGACTCTTTGTAATGTTTGTAGATAATGTATGGCGTACATTTATCTTTATGGAGGTCGTGGTCTCTGGATTCCTCTTTGGTTTATTGCGACGCAGTCCACTTCCAAGTGAGTCAAAAGAAGAGAGAAAAGAAAAACAAAGAAAAGAAACATTCTCCAAGTTGCCGTTTTTTATTTGATGTTTAAAGCCCTTGACTGCTAGTGCTATTGTCTGAGGTTATATTGCATAATCCAGAGGGAGGTGAGTTTGCTAGCTCCAGAACTACAAAGTGATGTTATATGTCTCATGATTGAATCGGAGATTTCTATCTCCTATCTTTTGTAATTCTTTTCCCATATTTTCTCTTCCCAAATTCCAGTGCGAGAGATGGGTTTAAAACCGATCTGTTCTTAGAGGTGGCCATCCCTTTCAAGTGCTGTCTAGACTCACTGTAACTCTGTCGTTGAATTACTGAAGGACATAATACTTGTGTAAATGAATAGCGGCAGTTGGTCTGTCTTCATCAGACTGGATGACTTCATTGTGCACTAAGCCCAAAAGACATACAGAAGTATGCCTTTGCACTCAGGAGTTCGTTGTATTTCTGCATATCACCAAATTGTCTCTGGCACAATCTCTTTGTTGATTGCGAGCTTTATTCATGGAATTATTTAGTGTGATTTCTGAAGCAGTTGCTTCAATAAGCTGCAAAATATTTCGCTCAACTCCTGGAGTCTAAACAGCAGTCTAGCTAAGGAGAGGTAGAGAGAGCAGCATACGTCTTTTCCATACATTCATTCTCCAACTCACTAGTGGAGCTTTGGATCTGTGTTGCTTTATTGAGTTTTACGTCGCTTTCGTTCTTTTCATGGTACATAGCAAAGCACTGATTCATTGCATGTGTTGCAAGAGGGATTGTCTCTTTTTGCTTTCGCATTCTAGAATCAATCTTTTCGACGGATCTCTCATTTGTCAATGGTTGAAGGCAGGGGAATTGTGTTGACACTGGTTCAGGAGCTGAATGCTGTAGCTTTTCAAGGGCATTATCGAAACTGCATAGGTTTGATCATTGTGCAGTCGACCCGTTTTTTCAATAGGGGAAACAATGAACTCCTTGACTAAGCAGGCAAAGGGCATTGCTTGGTGTACGGACCTGTAATAATTTCGTCGCTTGTTTTTTTCCAACTAGAGAGAAACCTCACTCAAGGACACATTCTAAAGTTCTATCAACTGACTTTCTAAGACCGTGGGAACTCGCGACCAAAGAGATCTTTGTACGACAGAAAGCGGATCTGCTTAGTTTGACCGAACCTAGGACGAATGCATCGTCATTGGCTCTTGAATTGCCGTGAAGTTTGCTCCTTCTAGTGTCGTAGAAAAAGATGAACCTAAAGTCGTTGACCTGAAGTGTGAACCCACTTTTGACCCAAAAAAAAGTGTGAACCCAACTAGCACTTCAAATCTTATTCCTACCTACAGCACAATGCCGGATAGAGCCATGAAATTGCACGGCTCTGCACCTGCATCTGCTAGGCTATCAAATCTCTCTCTCTCTCTCTCTCTCTTGCACCACATATTGCTTTTCTACCAGAGTTTCCCCTCGTGTGCAAAAGAAGGTTCTTTGATCTAACTCGTGCTTGATGAGCATTATCCTGCGAGTAACAGCACCAGAGCACTGAATTGCAGCTCGCCCCGACGTCGCGCAACTATAATCTTTGCTTGAAGCGCGTATTCTTTGGTGGGCACTTCTACAGATCCCCAAGGATCCGTTCCTCGGAGATCGGTGACTCGCTCATTGGAATCCTTTGAAATGTTTGCGAGGTACAACAAAAATGTATTAGGATAGAACTCTTTTAAGATGGTGGGTCGGTTTCTTGAGAGACCATAAAAAAAACTCCTTATATTTAATGAAAAAGCGATGGTTGCAAGGTCGTCATCGTTTAAGGAATATATAAAATGTCACAACTTTATATATCGTATTAAAGAAATTAATCAAAATCTTACGATTATGAAAATTGGATCTATTCATGCATCATGAAAACCAATGGATCCAAAGGTCCAAAGAAAGGAAAATTGTGTGGAAATACAAGTTGAGAAAAGTAGTAATGGAGTATAATGGAATCCGTATACATTAAAGAGGAAAAATGATAAAATATCGAGAAGGTGGAGTTGGTGACTTTTAAGCCCACTTGCACTCGTTTGTCAACTCTCCATTGCTCTCTCTATGGTGCAATCTTGAGAACTCTCCTTTCATAGGTAGTTCTTAGATTCGTGCTTTGTCGAACTAAAAAGATGAATATTTGACATATTGGTGCCGCTAATTATATTTTCTTTACTATACGTGGTTTTTTTTTTAAATTATATTTTTCAAAAATAAATGAAAGCACTAGAAGATAGTAAGCAAAAGCTCCCGTCTCCAACGACACATAGAGATATTAACGAGTATAAGATTTTGTGGGACCCCTAAGTCTGAGGCGGGGCCTAGAAAGATTTGAATTTAGGTTCTTCTACACTGATACCATATGAGATTTTGTAAAAATTACTGCCAAATGTTTTAAAAGTTTAGTCTTTTAGATATGCTAGAATATTTCAAATATTTATTTAACAGCTTAAGTTTTTAAAACAGTAGGCAATGTTTCTATCAAAATCTCACATGATATCAGAGTATGAGATTCTGAGCTCAAATTTTTCCATGTCCCTATTTGTTTTTCAATTAAATATTTCCACGCCTGTCTACGCACGAGGGTGGGTGTTAGAATATTTTAAATATTTAAGCTTTTAGAAAAATATGGCAATTGTTCCACCAAAATCTCAAAGATGAAGGCATGATTTAGTATTTAATTACTTTAACAACAAGGATGGAGCTATTTTCACTGTTGAATTGATTGAAAAAACGACTTTGCTAGGGCATTTGAGGTCTGATTCCCAGTCTCAGCTCGGTGGAGAATTAGAAAAGGGGTGGAGTGGCATTCTTTCTTGGGAAATTGTCAAATAAGGACCCAAAGTGGGTGCCTTTTTTCAAAAGAGGACCCCAAGTGGACAAAGTATCAATTAAGGACCCAAATGCCCAAACTAGTATCAAATAAGGACTGAGAGCCTCGCCCAGTGGCCTGGACTCAAACTAACATTTCCAAGACACAGGAATAGGGGCAATTTTGTCCAAAATTTTATTTCTTTTCTTTTCCTTTTCTTTTCTTCTTCCCCGGTCGCCGGTTCGGCGACCGGCGATCGGGCCAAAGTTGAGGCCAGCGAGAGCTCGAGCTCGCCGGCCATCTGGGAGAGCTCGGCAGGCGAGCTCTGCCCAGATCTGGGCGAGCTCCGCCCTCGCCGGCCCTCGCCGTCGCACAGCCATGGCGAGGGCCGGCATGAGCTCGAGCTCGCCATGGCCGGCGAGCTCGAGCTCGCCCAGATCTGGGCGGAGCTCGCCATGGCCGGCGAGCTAGAGCTTGCCCGGATGCGGGGCGGAGCTCGCCCGGCGGCTCGCCATGGCGGCGAGCTTCGAGCTCGCCCAGATCCGGGGCGAGCTCGCCGGGTGAGCTCGTCCAGATGGCCGCCGAGCTCGAGCTCTCGGGCTCGGCCTCGGCTCCGGAGCACCGGTCTGCGACGTCGCCGGGGAAGAACAAAAGAAAAGGAAAAGAAAAGAAAAAAAAATTTGGACAAAATTGCCCTTATTCCGATGCCGGAAATGTCGGCCGGCGAACATTTGGCCGGCCGGCAAACTCAGGTCCTTATTTGATACTAGTTTGGGCATTTGGGTCCTTAATTGATATTTTGTCCACTTGGGGTCCTCTTTTGAAAAAAGGCACCCACTTTGGGTCCTTATTTGACAATTTCCCTTCTTTCTTCTAATGAAAGGCTCGTTGCATTCCAAGATTTGCCAAATTAATAATAGAAAAGTGATTTTAAAAATTAGTTTGTTAATTAAAAATGAGATTATAAAATAATTATTAATAATTTTTATGAATATTAAGTATAAGCAATTAATGACTTGAATAATAATACTTGTAGTTATAGATAGTATTGGTTATATCTTTAGAATTCTTAATCATCTATGCAAAATAACATTACAAATGATTAGATTTTTTAGTTGATTAATTAACGTTTTTATATTAGTTGGTCATGATTTAGAAAAATGTTTTTTAAATTATTATACATTCGATAAAAATTATAGTTAAGTTGCTAAATTAGATTTATTGAAATCTCTCTGTATTTCGATGAGGTAATGTTTTCTCTTACAACCAAACAAAAACAAAAATCCTTATTCCATTTCATTTTTTCTTAAACTGAAAAAAGAAATCAAGATTCTCGCTCCGTTTCATCCCATTTCATTCATAATTTTTCATTCCATGTTCATCACCCCATTCCATCCGCCGTGCCGAACGTAATTTCCATTAATTAAAGGACTTTGTATTTTAAAAAATTAATTAGTCCAACCGATCAAAAGAGAAACATCATGACATGTTGATTTTCAATATCACTAATTTGGTGGATATTGAGTTTCAGACAAGTCCTTTTTCATTTATAAAATCGTTATATATGATCATACATTTATACGTAAATAGAAGTTACACGTTCAATAAACTAGAAAAAGTATGCCTCCAATTCAAAGTTGTCGATATTATTAACAAGGATCTGTGCATATTCTATTTGCCAAAAAATAAAAACAAATTCATAACTTGCACATGTGGCCAATGAATCTATTCAAATATTTTAAGATAATTAAAAAAACTTACAAAAATTTATGTAACATAAAATAATTAGTGTCCATTAATCTTCATTGAAATATTCATTCCATCAATTAATTAACTATTT